AAGGAAGGAAGGAAGGAAGGAAGGAAGGAAGGAAGGAAGGAAGGAAGATGAAGGAAGGAAGAGCTGTGGTGGTGCGGTAGTTAGAATGCAGTACTGCAGGATAACTCTGCCAACTACCAGCAGCTCAATTCTGAACAGCTCAAGGTCGACTCAGCCTTCTGTCCTTCCAAGGTCAGTCAAATGAGGACCCAGATTGTTGGGGGGAAATAGGCTGACTCTGTAAACCACTTAGAGAGGGCTGTAAAGCACTGTGAAGCGGTATATAAGTCTAAGTGCTATTGCTACACTATGCTATTTTTCACGGTTACCACCATAGTATTATTTCCATGGTCATGTGATCAAAATTGAGATGCTTGACAACATATTTATGACGGTTGCAGTATCCAGGGGTCATGTTTTCCAACCTTCTGACAAGCAATGGAGAAGCCAGATTAGCTTAACAACCGTGTTGTTAACTCAACAACTGGAGTGATTCAATTAACAACTGTTGCAAGAAAAGTCATAAAATGGGGGCAAAACTCCCTTAACAAACGTCTTGTTTAGCTACATAAATTTTGGGTTCAATTGTGGTCCTATGTTGAAGACTACCTGTATTTACAAAGAGCAGCTACAAAACAAATGAAGCCTTTGAAAATAAAAGATGTAATCGTGTGGTGCTACAACAAACAGAAATGGGACATAGTGGCTCAGGGGCTAAGACGCTGAGCTTGCCGATCAGGAAGTTGGCAGTTCAGCAGTTCGAATCCCGAGTGCCACGTAACGGAGTGAGCTCCCATTATTTGTCCCAGCTTCTGCCAACCTAGCAGTTCAAAAGCATGTAAAAATGCAAGTAGAAAAATAGGAACCACTTTGGTGGGAAGATAACAGCATTCTGTGAGCTTTCAGCATTTAGTTCTGCCAGCCACATGACCAAAGAAATGTCTCCAGACAACACTGGCTCTTCGGCTTTGTAATGGAGATGAGCACCGCCCCCAGAGCTGGAAACAAGTAGCACGTATATGCCAGGAGAACCTTTACAACAAACAGATACCCAGCAAGTTTTGCAGAGCAGAGAATCCTGTCATTATAAAACTTGCTTTGTAATTACTTAATACATAAAAAATAAATGCCAATTCCTGAAATTCATTAGCTAAACTTTCTTATCCATCAATCATATTTTTTTTTGCATTTGCTTAAAATGAGTATGTTTAAGCTAAAATTCTGTTTTACCTACTTATGAGTTTACCATTTATAAATGTAAAAACAGATCTGAGTTTTTTTTCTGATCTCTATTCTAACGATCAGAAAGTAGGCTAACAGAATCTGTCATGGACAGCCAATAATTTGGACTTACTTTTTCTTATTCAATTCTCCCATAGCAATAAAATAAATAAATAAACCTTCTTCTTAAAATGTTGCTTCTATCTTCTCTCTTAAATTTCTGGCAAAGAACATAAACAGGAAAACATCAGGGGCCTTACGAGTAAAACGAAGTTAATGTTCCCTGCAAGGATTTCCATAGACCGTATAAGAATAAGAAAAAAACAGACAAAGATGGGGATTAGTGTCTACAGTGGGAGCTGGGGAGTACAGCCAGTTAGAAGGAAAGATGACTAATACCCCTGATGAAAGACAAAAACCACAGAGAAGCAACCAGCGGAGTTATCCCGAGCCCTTTTTATCTTTTGCTAGTGACCCCAACAGCCGGAGTAGAAAGCAAAACCCCAAATCTACTGAAATGATTCCACAAGGAACAATATATGCTCAATTTATCGTTGAAGAATGGACTGTCACAGTAAAAAGAAATAAAATATAAATAAGATGAAGATCATATGTGGAAAGATGCAGTGAGAATTTAGATTTATGGGCTACCGAACAAAAGATGCTTGAGAAATTGTACAGTCAAATCTAAACAGTGTAGTGTAAAACAGAATATGGAATGTGGAATATAGAATATAGAATAGATTAGAGAATAGAGGATAGGATAGGATAGGATAGGATAGGATAGGATAGGATAGGATGGGATGGGATGGGATGGGATGGGATGGGATGGGATGGGATGGGATGGGATGGGATGGGATAGAAATATTCCTAATTGATGGACCCATCTTATCGTTAAAAAAAGCCTGCAAAATATTTCAGAATTGATAAATCATGTAACTGAAAGAGACTGATCAATATATTTAAAGACTTGATGATGTTACCTAGTTTGGGTAATGAAACATCTGCAAGAAAACCACCAAACTCAGAGAGCACCAAAGACCATTTCAAGCCCAAGCTACAAATATTCTCCTTTATCTGCATTTATTTATTAACTTGTCGAAAGAGCAGCTAGATATTTATAAGCCAGGTAATGGAAAAGAAATCTCCCACCTGGGAAAATAGTCTATTACAGG